TATAAACTTTGAATTGAACTACGTTGTTTCTCGGAATAGGTGATCGCCTTTGAGTTGAGGTCGTGTGTTTATCTATTGTAATATTTCTTTCAAATGAAATTAGAATTCCATCCTCTATTTTCATAATATGTTTTGCTCACTCTTCTGTTGGATTTTTAATGATATGTATATACTCACTGTCGCTAACTAATACTGTTTTAATAATAATTTAAGAAGAAATAACTATACACATCCATAAAATGGAAGCTCGCTTATTAACAGGGTGGTGAAAAGAGTGTTTCACGTGCATCGTGTAAGTACTGCAAAAACGGAGTTTGAACCGCTACTTATTATAGTATGTTTGTATTGAAAATCGATTCCAGATATCAAAAGTAACTTATTCTACACCAGGTGCGATGTGGGTAACTACGTGAAGATGTCAGCTGCTGCGGAAACGCTGCCGGCGCCGAACGTACGTCCGCACGCTCCTCCCGCCACTGCGCCCGCGCCGCCGCCGCCGCCGCCGCCGGCCGCTCGCCGCTCTAATGGCAAGCACATCGTGCACTGGTTCCGGAAAGGCCTGCGCCTCCACGATAACCCAGCGTTAAAAGAGGGTTTGCTAGACGCAGCCACCTTCAGATGTGTGTTCATTATTGATCCATGGTTCGCTAGTTCTTCTAATGTTGGCATCAATAAATGGAGGTAAAGCTTTGAATGTGTTACATAATTCAATTTCCATCAAATCGATTATAATAATGATTTAATCTTTGCATGAGGTGTTTGAGTCATAGTCCGTGTACACGTAGACGACAGACGTAGTACACACTTGCGTGCATACGTAGGTCTTGCTACGCTTGCCATTATGCATTTCATGTTTTATTGAATTTGTAAATATTATCTTAACAGGTTTCTGCTGCAATGTTTGGAAGACTTAGATAGTAGTTTACGGAAACTTAACTCGCGTCTGTTTGTGGTACGAGGACAACCCGCTGACGCATTGCCCAAACTATTTCGAGAATGGGGCACCACTGCGTTAACCTTCGAAGAGGATCCCGAACCTTACGGCCGTGTGCGGGATCACAACATTATGTCAAAATGCCGCGAGGTTGGCATCACCGTCACATCTCGTGTATCCCACACGCTATACAAACTAGATCAGTGAGTTATTTCAAACAATTAATCATCTAAGCATATTTACAAATTTAAAAGATTGAATAACAATAATTTAATATTTTTTTAGAATTATAGAACGAAATGGTGGCAAAGCGCCGCTCACATACCACCAGTTCCAGGCATTGATTGCCAGTATGCCCCCTCCTCCGCCTGCAGAGGCGCCGATATCAGCGCAAATGCTGAACGGTGCAACCACGCCCCTAACCGATGACCATGACGATAGGTTCGGTGTACCTACTCTAGAAGAACTTGGTACTTAATTAAATTTTATTATGCATAAATAAATATGATTATTAGACGTTTTAATATGAAACAACTAATTTTTATGTAATAATTGCAGGATTCGAGACCGAGGGATTAAAACCACCGGTTTGGATTGGTGGGGAGAGTGAAGCCCTGGCTAGGTTAGAACGGCATTTAGAAAGAAAAGCTTGGGTGGCTTCATTTGGTCGACCGAAGATGACCCCGCAGTCATTGTTAGCGAGTCAGACAGGCTTGTCACCATACTTAAGGTACATTCCGATTACAACAGCACTTTGGATATAGAGAAAATAAAAAGCGAGTTAGACTATGTGCTCTAATTATATATAATTTTCAGGTTCGGTTGTTTGTCAACGAGATTATTTTACTATCAGTTGACAGAATTATACAAGAGAGTCAAAAGAGTAAGACCTCCACTATCTCTTCATGGACAAATACTGTGGAGGGAATTTTTCTATTGTGCGGCAACACGTAATCCTAATTTTGATCGTATGGAAGGAAATCCCATTTGCGTCCAAATCCCATGGGAAAAAAACCAAGAAGCTCTAGCGAAATGGGCTAGTGTAAGTGCTACTATTGTTTATTATTCAAAATGATTGTTGAGTACTTATTATTTTAAATGAAATTAGTCTGTTATATTAGCACAAAATAGATCCTATTATTTTTAATTTTAGGGTCAAACTGGGTTCCCTTGGATAGATGCAATAATGATACAATTAAGAGAAGAAGGCTGGATCCATCACTTAGCCAGGCATGCAGTAGCATGTTTCCTAACTAGAGGAGACTTGTGGATCTCCTGGGAAGAAGGAATGAAGGCAAGATGAGCTACGTTTTTAAATACTTTAGTATCATTTCATCTAGAATTCAATTTAAAAAATTCTAATGACTATCCCAGTTATAGATGTTTTTCATATACAAATGCACCTCACTACACAGTTCCTGTTTCACTGCACGGTTCACAAAGTCTGCAATGTGGAATAATTTTACGTAATCTAAATTTCACAACACCGAGAAAGTGTGAAAGTTTTAGGTGTTTAACCATCAATCCTTTCGTTTGTGGCCTCTGCGATCCAGTTTAATGAATTGTTTGTATGACCGCCGTGATGCCGACACCTATTAATTTGAGGAGGGTCCCCGTTCCTGCAGGTGTTCGATGAATTGCTTCTCGACGCCGACTGGTCTGTCAATGCTGGCATGTGGATGTGGCTCTCGTGCTCATCATTCTTCCAGCAGTTTTTCCACTGCTATTGTCCGGTTCGTTTCGGTCGAAAAACCGATCCTAACGGCGATTTCATAAGGTATGTTGCTTTTTTAATTATTATTACTGCTGTGCTTATGGAGAACCTAAGTAGACTTTTTATTGTCATTCAAATAATAATTTTATTTACAGAATAATCTCCAGGTTGTATCGTATCAGCGTAGTTTCAGCATAAAAATTCTAAATAATACACTGTGGTTAGTCATTTATTCTCGTATGATCACTACGATGTAATTAGACGAGTTATAGTAGTACTTCGTACTGCGGTAGGTACTTGCACGACTCCGTTCTAAGTACACAGTATCAGTACGTCGGATCATAATGTTACGCAATTTATTGTTCGAGAGGAGTGACGCAGTGCCGACGACACGCCGGTGATGACGGTCAATGATACTTTCGCTTCGTTTGACATATATTCTTATTTTGTAAACGTTATTATTTTTAACAATATTCTGACATGAGCATATTATAATGAGCAATCCTGATAATCATGATAAAGCAAATAAATTATTGCTTGTTTTAATGAATGTTTTGTTTGCGTGTTTACAGGAGATACATTCCTGCGTTAAAGAACATGCCTACGCGGTACATCCACGAGCCGTGGGTAGCTCCAGAGTCGGTGCAGCAGTCGGCCCGATGCATCATTGGCCGTGACTATCCGTTACCCATGGTGGATCACTCGAAAGCTTCTCAAGTCAATATAGAGCGTATCAAACAAGTATACGCTCAACTGGCGAAATACAAGCCGCAAGGTAAATTCAACTTAATAATAATTAATTTGGTAGATTGATGAATACTTCTCGTCCGATCCCTGCTCTCTGTTCTGTTCGAACTGCGGATGTAAACAGTTGTTATCAGTACATTGTATAATGACAATTCACCGTGTGCACTTTGATCAGTGATGTCACAATGTTCTTGTTTCAGCAATAAGTACCGCATGGTTATTTTTCACATGCAAACTCTAAGCTTATATTACGTTTTTTTCATTAAATATATCATAATTAAATAAATTCGTTATAATCGAATCATCTTCATGGAATGTAATCTTGGTTTTAGGTACATTGAACCCCAATGCTGTACAGAGGCCAAATGTGATGCAGTCGTCACCGAGTCCGAACTCAATTATAACCAGCATCAACCAGTCGAACTACCTCTGCAGCCAGGCGCCTGAACCCCAGACAACAACACCACAAATTATTCCATATAAAGATAACGATGTCGTATTCCAAAAACCTATGAACCACCGATCTATGAAGCCATCGTTTAAACAAGTTGTCATTGTACAGAAAAAGCAAAATACCAACGTAATACAAACAGTTTCTAACTGCACGTCACAATCAAAGGAAAACTATATTGTGAATGGTCAACTAGATGGTTCTTACAAAGCGCCGATGAACGACAATTTGCAGTCGGCTAAACAGGAAAACTATGACTTCAAAAACTTAGTCATCAACAATTATGTACAAGGCTATACTAACAGTCAAGAAATTTTTCAGAATGAACAGTCGAATAAGAATGAATTGTTCGCACAACAAACTTTGAAAATTAATAGTTTTAATTACGAGAAACAGAAATACTACTTATCGTCTTATACTGACAATGGTGTTCGACTATCAGGTGTACACAATCAGGCACCCCCTCCATACGAGGGAGAGCTCAACGACACCAATATGACGTTCAACCAAGAAGATAAAAATGAAACTACGAAAGACAAAGCTATTGAAAACACATGCTTACATCCAATGTCAATAAATGATGAAGGATCAATATCAAACGAAAATTGCCAGAATAATCCGTCTAATGAATGTGGATTTAACTCCTCAAATGATAATCAAGAATAAGTATGAATTAAAACAGCATAGATTAGTTAGTCATAATCTATTCGAGTACAGTCCATGCAGAGGACAGTTGAATTGGAACATTGTGTTTTGTAAGTTAATTTGATATGGTTGGCATTTTGACAAAGCAACTAAATAAAAAGATTAATTGAGAATAAAAATAAATGCTAAAAGAAGAATACAGATTAAGTGGTCAAAGTGTCATTTAACAACAATTGAACTAAGTACAATGTTGTGCACATTAAAATTGGAAAAATTAAAACACATCCGGCCAGGCAGATCTCTAAAATTAGGGTGAAGAATTTATAATATTACAATTAAATTACAAGAATGTTAGCAAATAAATATTTCTATACAATTTCTTTTTTTATTTCATAGCAAAGTTTGAATGTTGCAATTTACTTTTAACATCTAGACGGGGCTGGGGCACAATGGCACAATAGAAAAAACATAGTATGTCTGATGTTTATCTGCACTCATGCATATCATGGGTTAAACTACAAATAAAAGGGTGATATGCTTTAATAGATAAACTTAATTCATTTCCAGTGAAGCTACAGTCTCCATGTGCTGCTTCATTGCCTTTTTCACTTTTCTTGAATTTTTTATGTCATTCCTGTCAGGTTTTGACTTTTTGCCTCTGCCTATTTCTTTTTGAATTGTTGAAAGTATAGAATCCTAAAAAAAAATTAGAAATATGTACAGAGCATTACAACCTTACTACAGGTACTTAGGTCAGGAAAATATACTTACAGTTTCAGGAATATGCACATATCTAATATTTCGACCTTGTAAAAACAAATCATCAAACTGATATTCATTTCCTTGGGGGTCACAATATACTGCATTGCCAAAAGTAATGTTCATAAAACTGCAAATAAATTAATATTTACTTTTAAATATTTTGGCAAAAACAGAGCTAGATGTAGTTCATTGGTTTAATTATTGTTATAAATTTAATCTGTGTGTAATTTTAATATTCTTGCAATGTCCCATTACAATAATTACATTTGATTTTATTTTCTTACCCATCTACACTGGCAACTCGTCCACAGATACAAGAATCATTACGCAAGTCCACTGTTATATTTTTTCCTTGCATAGCTTGAACAAGACACAGTAAAGTGTTATGAAACTTGAATTTTTCTTTAGCTGTTCCAATAAACATTTTATTTGATCGCAATTATCTGTAATTCAAAAATTTTTGCTCATATAGCATAATTATTTAGGTAAATTTAAGTAGGTTTACTTAAAAATTAAAATTAAGTTAGAAATAAAAAGTGTTGGTTTGCTGGTTGAAATAATTTATTCTATTATACAAATCATTACATGTTTCACTACTTTAATATTTTCTACTTCACTATAACAAGTCTTGCATCTGGCTTAGATTTTAATTCTAACTCTGCTCTAGTAATTTTCCATTCCTCACTGTTTTTCTCAGCCCAGAAATAAAATGTTCCCTTTTCTTTAGGGCCAGAAACTGGTATTCTAAATTTAGCAGTACTGCCATCAGAAAAGTTATTATCAGAGTCACTCAGCTTGAATCTCTTATCTTTGATGGGTTCCCCCAGATAGAAAACTGCACCAGAATGAGCCCGCAATTCTTTAAGAGCATTTTTATAGTAATCATAACCTCTCACCCTATCAATTATTCGGTTTTGTAAGTAATATCCAGTACCGCTGACTATTAATCCACCCCAAGCAGCAATTTGAACAAGTGTTCTAGTAGATATAGTCATGATATAATAATTTAAAGTTCAGAAGTTCAGTAAGATTAATATGCTTTGTGTATGTACCTTGTTTTCTTCTAACTTGCAAATTAAGTATTTATATTATTTCGTAATAAACTAATCGGCATATAGAGAAAGAATTCAATGAGTGAAAAATCAATCAATCTTCACACTTTCTAACGTCTTGGTGGCTTTACCACAGGGCTTTACTTTATAATTTAGCATAACATCAGCTGAGCTTGACATACTGTTGACATAATATAGCACTTAGCAGATTTTTTTTTTGGAGTTTATGGCCTGGATACAAGTCCTTTAATACACTAACTTACTTGGGTACAGAGACAATTAATGAAACGACAGGCACAGATAAGAATCTAACCGGTCCTATAGCAGCGGTAAGACTGTCGACGAATAAGGGTGTAGCTTGTCGCCCGATCAGAACCAGACCCGAGCGTACAGACGCGATGCGCTCCGCGGGCGCCTCAAAAAGCCAAAAGACCACTACAGACTGATATATCACCTAAGAGGCTGATGGTCAGCCGGTGATTGCGGTGAAAGCGTAGTAACCGCGGCCTCGGCCCAGAGCAGGAGAAGGAACGGAGGGTTTTTAGTCAGTAAGAGGGACGCTCTCTCCCGCCCAACTCTGAGCTGGAGAATTAATTTGATGATTTTCTCCTCACCAAAAATATGAGATTCTAAACGGCTGCTCGTAGCCCAGTTCCAGCGTCAAATGGATATTTACTGAGTATTTGACCATTTTGAATATTTATATCGATGAAATACCAAAACTGTAAGCATGACACTACAACATTAATCCTACCCCCATGATCCAAATATTGTTTTTCCAAATAGATTTAAATATGCATTGTGTGAATAATATGTAAACATGTGATAAACAAACTTACTTTTGATTTTAAAACAATATAGTAAGAAAACTCTGTTTAAATCTTTCCGAAATTCATGGTTAAAATCTTGATGTCAATGTCAATAATTAGAATGATGTCAACACACCGAACACAACACATAACCTATTGAATTTATTCACCTAATCATTTTGTTACAAAAGTGTTGCGAAATATTAAATATTTAAAGAATACTGCAAATTATTAGTGCCGAATACTTTAAAACAAAAAAAAAAATGAGCACTTCTAAAGGTAGCAATGTGAGGAGACGGCCACAGAAACACCAAAACAAAACAGCGTTTAAGAATGATTTACACGATACAAGTCGTAAAACAAAATTTTTAAACTCCCTAGAAATAACAGGAGTTTGCAAACGTTGTAAGGATATTCTGGAATGGAAGATAAAATATAAAAAGTATAAGCCATTAACAGCACCGAGAAAATGCGTGGGCTGTGAGCAGAAAACCATAAAACATGCCTACCACATGTTGTGTACTAAGTGCGCTTTAGAGAAAACATTATGCGCTAAATGCTGCAAACCAGTTGAGGTACATTATTTTCCCATATTTTCTTTCATATTCTTGCTTACCAGGTGATCTGCCTGCTTGTTTGACTATCTGAGTTTTAACTTTTTGTTTCAATATCAGAATGAGGATTCACCAGCTAACGAAGAGACCCAGCATGTAGATATAAAGGCCATGTTAAAAGATCTCCCAGAAAGGAAACGCCGGACAATTATGAGGTAATAATTCCTTTAATTAAACTTTTCTTCTTAGTCATGCACTCTTCACAGAGTGGTTGTGGTCATGTGTCGGTCAGTCTTGCGCCACCATCTTACGATGCGACGCCGTGAATTAATGAAACTAAAGGTTTATACAAACAGAAATTATTTTTCAAAAAATTTTCAAACTTACCATTTCAATAAATAATAATATTGTGAAATAATATATTTGTATCCTGATCCTTTAGCTTGTAAAATTGCACCTAGCCATTGTCATAGGGATAGAAAAGAATATCTTTCTAGTTCGGGTCGCGTGCGTTCGTGCAGCGGAATGTTGTTGAATTTAAAGATTTTAATTATGCAGATATTTAGTGTATGACGTCGTATAATTGTGTATGGTAAAAAAAAAATTGTGCACGCAACCATTGTGGAGAAATTCACCAAAAACTGATCCCGCTGGGCGAACGTTGTCCTGGCGGAACTTTTTTTAATCCATAGACTTTAGAAGAAAAGAAATGTATCCAAAAATTAGTGTGTATTTGTGTGTAATTGTGTATGTATGAATAAAACTAGTGCATGCATAAACTTCGGAGATATTCAAGTTTCCGCTACGCGAACGTTTGGCCATTAGCTAGTTTTCATATAAAGCGCTTACATAGAGAGCTGTAGATTTTTACATACATTGTTTTGAATTTGTTTATATTTGTTTAAAAAACAGATTTAGAAAAAATCGTAGGGTTTAAAAGATAAAAATATAAACGTAAAATACGCTTATTAGGTCCTAGTTCTTAAAGTATGCACTTTGGGATCTAGATTTTCACGTTTATACAAACCTTGTAAGTGTCTGCAACATGTTGCCAAGTATCAATGATGTTCCGTTAGTAATTAAATAAGTATAGGACAAATTTACCATGAATAGATCACTGTTTACAAAGCAGTCAAATATCACGACTTTCTAAATGAATTGCATGGTAAAATGTATGCCAATAATTAGTGTATTCATTCAACTATTCACATGCAAAATTTCATGTCATTAAATTCAGTAATTAAAGAAAAACAATTATAATACTGACGAAGCATCGAAAACCTACATAACCCGACCAAGTTCGGATGGCTACAAAAAAGCGGCCGTGCAATATATTAAGGTAACATCCCAAAATTTACAGTATAATACCGGTATTGAATTGGTACAGGTGATAACACACTTGTTGTTTCGAAATAATTTATAGGTCATTTATTTTTGGACACCTACTTTTTTAAATGTATTTGACTATGACAGAAAGTAGGTACTTTTTACGTAGGTATTTTATTTAAGTATGCGCTTGAGACTTGAGATATAATCTAATTATATTTAAGACAAAGAAGATTTCACGGATCAGGATTCTAACTATAGACCCCTTAGGAAAATTAAATATTTACCACATGTATGTATGTACCTACTACTGTTTCGGTAAATATTTATCATATTGTAGCTTATAACACTATTTAACCAATATTTTTTATTACACTATTTAACCAATAGACTAGGCATGCACGAGCGTGTGTACGATACTGTGTTTTATTTTTTCCTAACGCTTGTGTACGATACTGTACCATATTAATAAATGCTATATTGGAAAGTTAAGAACGTTTCTTAGATATATGGCACGGCCGCTTTTTTGTAGCCATCCGAACTTGGTCGGGTTATGTAGGTTTTCGATGCTTCGTCAGTATTATAATTGTTTTTCTTTAATTACTGAATTTAATGACATGAAATTTTGCATGTGAATAGTTGAATGAATACACTAATTATTGGCATACATTTTACCATGCAATTCATTTAGAAAGTCGTGATATTTGACTGCTTTGTAAACAGTGATCTATTCATGGTAAATTTGTCCTATAACTATTTAATTACTAACGGAACATCATTGATACTTGGCAACATGTTGCAGACACTTACAAGGTTTGTATAAACGTGAAAATCTAGACCCCAAAGTGCATACTTTAAGAACTAAGACCTAATAAGCGTATTTTACGTTTATATTTTTATCTTTTAAACCCTACGATTTTTTCTAAATCTGTTTTTTAAACAAATTCAAAACAACGTATGTAAAAATCTACAGCTCTCTATGTAAGCGCTTTATATGAAAACTAGCTAATGGCCAAACGTTCGCGTAGCGGAAACTTGAATATCTCCGAAGTTTATGCATGCACTAGTTTTATTCATACATACACAATTACACACAAATACACACTAATTTTTGGATACATCTCTTTTCTTCTAAAGTCTATGGATTAAAAAAAGTTCCGCCAGGACAACGTTCGCCCAGCGGAATCAGTTTTTGGTGAATTTCTCCACAATGGTTGCGTGCACAAATTTTTTTTTACCATACACAATTATACGACGTCATACACTAAATATCTGCATAATTAAAATCTTTAAATTCAACAACATTCCGCTGCGCGAACGCACGCGTTCGGGTCATATCATTTATTATTTTTTGTCATCATACATAGTTATGTAACACTTTGGAATGAGCATATAGCTTTACTAAGAGGACTGACCGACAGACTGACACTATATCTTCAAATGTTTGACGTTTAAAAGTGCCTGTAAGGGTCTAATTGGAAAAATAATTTTTGACGTTTTTGACTTCTTTTGGCTTATGAAAACTGCTGATATTTGTATGAAAGTTTTTTGGACAACCACAAATATTTCTCTATTATGTTTCATGCAGCCAGTCAGATTTCTTATTGCTGTTATCATATTGTTTGCAGGTTAATAAATAAACAAGAAGAGGGTCAGCAATTGACTCCAGAAATAAAAGCACAGATAGATGATATGTTATTGAAAATGGACAATATTGCCCTAGATGATGATGATTTCAATTTTAGTGGTGATGATGATGATGATAATGATGAAGAATATAACTCAGATAGTGAACCAGAAATTAAATAAATAATTATGTACATACACTTAAAATATTTCTAAATAATAAACTTATTTAAACAGTTTTTGATGTTTACTTTTTCACATTACACATATAGAAATAAAAAAATGCTTGAGTTAAAATACATTTAATTAAATATACATAATTAATATAATATTTTAAAAATAACAATAATTTACAAACAACAAAACTATGGATTTCCATAAAATTTACATTTGATTTATTTTCTATTTATTTATAAAACTTAATAAATTGTTATAAAGATAATAAAGCATCTTCAGGTGACATTTCATATCAAATAATGCCAAGTTGTCGCAACTGAAACAAAATACAAAACAATGTTAGATAGCAAGCAAAAATAAAAGTTTAACATTCAATAATGCATATTAGCAATTGTGTTTTTTTCCACATGAGGGTGTAAGTTTTATAAAGAACCGGATATGAGGTAGTAGACATAAAATGATTTTTAGCAAAAAAAAACCATCTTCAAAATGTAAATTTAAAAACAAAAAATAAATTTACTTTGTTTAAAACAGTACATATTTTAATTTACTTAAATAGAAAATAATATTTAATAACTATTTTATAATCTTGAAGTTGGTGCCATCCTCCTTTTTGGAAGTCGGTTAAAAAGTGTTAAATACAACTTTAATCACGTAAAGATAATACAAATTAAATACTTACGAATCCTTGTCGTTCTTTTTCCTTTTGCAAAACTTGTTTGGTTTGCATATCGTCAAACTTGACTATGGCTGCTAACACTTTAGCTAAAGTAACGGAATGTGTTCCAGAACCAGTAAGGTACTCGTAAAGTATATTGCGCAAATATTCTAGCTCTGTATTTTCTTGTAATGCGTGCAAATGTCTCAGACTAACGAGGGCCTCATCAAGACGCCTCTCAAGTTTTTCATTAGACAATCGTAATTTCTCATTCTTTTCCTGAATTTGTGAAAAGTTACTATTTACAGATTTGTTCATTTGTTCCAAGTCGTTAAGACGCTTCTCCAAAGTGCTGTTAACTTGCATTAAATTATTGTACTTTTCTCTCAGTGAATTATCGTTTTCTTGTGGCGATTTTATTTCAGGTTTAGGGTAATTTTGGGACTGCAATTGATCCTTTAGTTCCAAATTTTCCTCAGCCAGCAACATATTTTCTCGTAACAGATCATCAATCTTTTCTTTTCTCAATTGAGCTTCTTTTTTCAATTCCGATAAATCATTACAAATGTCACTATTATCAGTGGAATGTTCACTAGTGGCTATGAGCTCGCGAAGTTTATCATTCAAAACACTGTTTTCTTTAGATATTTTAGTCAAATATGTTTGTAGGCCCTCAATATCAGATTTAAAACGTCTGTTTTCTTCTTTCAATGCATCATATTCAGTTTTCAATAATTTGTACTCATCGCCGCTAGCCGTAATTGTTTCTGTATTGATATTTTCTACGCTAGTTGTGTTCAATTTTCCAAGGTCAATAGCTTTGACACTTTGTAATTCTTGTTCAGATACTGTTTGTGGTAATAGATCATCTGTTTGGCATTCATTGTTTTGTGTGCTCTTACATGAACTATTTTCCAATTTTTCTATGATTTCATTCAAATGATCTTTTTCTACTTCTATATCAGCATGTGATTTTCGTACATCATTAATTTCAGTTTCTAGTTTTTTATAACTGTCAGCTATACTCTCAACTTGAGTTTTCAAAGATATATTTTCAACTGTTAAATTTTTGTTATCCTCTTGTATTTTACTGATGTTAGAAATCTGTGTCTTCAGTTCTTCTGTTTGAACAGTCAGCATATTATTAATTTCTTTTAATTTATTTTTTTCCACTTCCACATCAGCATGGGATTTACGTAGATCACTGAGTTCCACTTCCAATTTTTTATAAGTATCAGCAGTGGCTTCTACTTGAGTGTTCAAAGATGTATTTTCCAGTGTTAAAGCTTTGTTATCCTCTTGTAACTTACTTATGCTAGCAATTTGTTTGTTGAGTTCTTCTATTTGAACGCTCAACTTATTATTCTCATTCTTTACAGCATCAAGTTCACTAACTGTATTATTGTGCAAATCTGTGAGGGCAACTAAATCTTTGCTAGACACATTACTTTCCTTCATCAAAGAATCCAGTTTCTCCACTAATATCTTGTTCTCATTTTCCAATAATTTTAGTTTTTCATTAGTATCGTGATACTGAGTTTTCTCAAACTCCATAGCTAATTGTAGATTTTGGAAGTTGTTTTCATATTCTTTGATCTTGTATTGTAGGTTTTCTTTTTCCTCTTTAACAAAATTTAGATCATTTATGGCTACTTCATAACGTTCAGTAATATTTTTCACTTCTTCATCTATGAGGTTCTTTTGTACTTCAAACTCAGTAATAGTTGATTTCAAATTATTATTTTCGTCCTGAAGGGCATTTAATTCTGAATTTAATTTGTCATATTTTTCCACACCTACTTTCAGTTCTTTCTGCAACTTATTATTTTCTTGTTTTAATTCATTCAGTTTGTTATTATTAGAATTAGTTTCGCAATGTGAAATGTTGTTGAAAGCATAATTAATCTCCTTAGTTAAGGATATAAATGCTTCATTGTTGATCGCTTGCAATGACTTCGCCTCACTCGAAATTACAAAGATAAGTTTTCTTAAATCCAGAATTTCGTGTGCAAGCTTTACAATACCTGCTTTCATTTTGGTATTTTTGACGACTTTTTCGTGCATGACTGCATTCTCGGATTTCAATTCAGTAACAACCTTACGGAACTCGATATTTTGATTTTGTAATAACTCATGATTTGCTAATAGTTTTTCAATTTCAGATTGTAATTTGATCAATTCATCTCTTTCTTCTTGTATTTCAGATTCCAGTTTTGCATACTTGTCTTTCCATATACTCAATTCTTCAAGAACTTCATCTTTCTTAGAGTCTTCTAAGGCTTGATCCTTTAAGATCTTTTCTTTTTTTTGAAGTTCCATTTCTAATTGTCCTATCTGTGCACTTTTCTTTGCGTTTTCTTCACTTAGCTGTGTGTTCCTGTTTTCTAAGTATGTGTTTCTATCAATCATGGCTAATTTTTCTGCAGTTTCTTGTTTCATTTGTAACTGGAGACATTTGTACCCTTCATCTGCTTTTGTTTTAGTTTGTTCTAAATTCTGACATTTTTTGGTCAGCTCTTCTATTTGGCCCTCCAAATCAGAAATCTTAGTTTTAAATGAATTCAGTTCAGAGTTATCTTGACTTAGCTTCGTTTTTTCTGCTTCCAATGATATAACATTGTTTTTATAGTCATTTATAACTATATTCAAGGATTGTATTTCTTTCTTGCTTGCCTCTAAGTAATCTTTTAGGGATTTAATTTCTGATTCCTTACTTTCTAACTCTTTATGTATACTCAATTTGTTTTCTGCTAAAGAAATAGCATACTCTTCTTCTCTTTTACTAAATACTTCAATTTTACTGCGTAGTTCTGATATTTCTTCTTGAGCTTTTTGGAAGTCAACTTCTAATGTTGATATTTCTCTCGTTTTATTAAACTCATACACGTTAATTTTGTTCTGTAATTCTTCATTAATATTATTTAATTCCTGGATTTTTTGTTTACTCTCTGCCAGTTGATCTGAAATGGCTTTCAGTTGTTCAATTTCTTTGTTTTTGTTTTCAAGTTCATTTGCCAGAATTTGTATCTCAGTAGTGTTTTGAGAGTTTTTCTCTTTACTCAACTTCAAAGACTCTTTGTACTTATTTAGTAGCTGTTCCATTTTTTCTATTTTATTATTCAATGCGATTATTTCTGCTGAGGATTCTTCACTAATTTGATTTCCTTCCTTATCATTTGATAGATTTATTAGCTGTACATCACCATCTCCTTCAGTCGATTTAGTTTTAATGTCATTTTGATCATTACTATTAGCAATATTTGAGTTACTTTGTAGTAATTGGACTTTAGTATTAAGTGCTTCAATTTTCATGCACTTTTCTTCAATTTCAACACGAAGAGCTTTTTCTAGGTGGGCCTATAAAGAAAAAAGGTATATCAAATGTTGGTCAACCTCATAACAGTAAGAGGAAGTGTTATTTCATACGAATATAACTTACCTTCGCGCTTTGTTCCAACGCACATTGCTCTCGAAGTTCTGATATTCTTCTTAGGGCTTTATCTTGAGTTTCAACCAAGACACTCTAAAAATGCAAAGAAAAATGATTTATTAAGTAGGGTAGTAGGTAGGGGGATATTATGTGTATACGAATTTTAAAAGTTATTAGTATTATCACATTTACCTTTGCTTTAGCATTTTCTCTTTCTAATAATTTGTAGTGACGAGCTAGGTCACCATATTGTGTTCTGTACTTTGTGTATCTTTCTTGTGTGCGTCGGTATGCAGCATACAGTTGTTCTTTTGTGACCCGATCAAGACTGACATTTCCACTAGAAAAACCTCGCTCTTCAGCTTCACTAGCAGATACCTCCATATCAGACTAAAAAATAAACAAGTACATATTTATTTACAATGGTTTAAAAAGGCATTTTAAAGGACAAATATCACATCCAAATCCATGAAATTTTGAGGAACATTCATGAGCTGGTTTGTTTGTAGTGAAGTTTTTAATAGAACAAAGTTTTGTATTATGGAGTGGAAACTGTAATTTAAGTAATTTGCAGCAGCATTTCATAGTTAATTAAGTATATAAGAGGATGTGAGTATGATTATGAAAATCCTGTATGTGGCAACTTACAACTTACCTGTAAATGGTACATAGAAGGAGTTTCATAACTTGGTAATCTAAAGGAAACATCACTTGCAAATGAGCTGTTTGATAGTCGTCTTTGTCTCTGGTGATCCTGAAATAAAAAAAATACAGTTTATATAGGTTCTGTTATACATTTTCCTAAACTTGTTATTTTATATTTTTTAGATCTGACTGATGTATCTGAATTTATAAATAATTTTTCAAGAAAAGCAGGAATAAACCTTGTTAAATAATTGACAGATGTGTGAGTAGTTACAGTAGAGTCAGACAAGCTGTTTCAATAATCTTTTATAATACAATGTTATTAATATTACTGTAGCGGCACGATCACGTCGCTACATTACTTAGATACGATAGAGATAAGACACACATGTTAATTGTTGCACGTTTGTTAGGATAGCTAAATCTGAAAATCTCACGCATCTTCTTAGTATATAAGCACCAGCAATTAAAGTAATAAACAGACCTTAACCATCTACAGTCTCATTATTTACCTTGCCACGAAGTCTGGCAAATTGGTGACCCGACGAAGAACAATCAACATGACTCATTCACCCTGCAAATCAAGCAGCAGCCAACAAGAAGCCTTGGAGATATCAGCCGGAACCGCCATTTTATCCCGTATTCCGGAATTTTGGAGGGACCAAACCCAGATTATGGTTTAAGCAACTAGAAGCCATAGTAGCACCACAGAAGCAAGGAGACGATTACAAGTACTATACGGTCATTGCAAAACTGCCAAAAGAAGAAATAATACAGGTTAGTGACCTCATTACTTGCCCACCGCCAATAGAAAAGTACAAGGCTATCAAAGAACGCCTAATCAGTTGCTATGAGGAATCAGACCAACGTCAGCTCCAAAAATTATTGTCTGAAATGGATCTCGGCGACCAGAAACCATCACATCTTCTGCGCAAGATGCGGACCCTGAGTAACGGAAATATCAGCGACGAAACCATCAAACTTCTATGGTTGAGGCTTCTGCCACCATCAGTGACTTCGGTTCTAGCAGTCACAGAAGACATAGATGTGAACAAGATGAGCCAGATCGCGGACAAGATATTAATAAATTCAACACGTACAGAGGTGTCAGCTGTAAACGGAAACAAATCTGGCGACGATACAATGTCATGCATACTAGCACAGTTAGCAGAAATGCAATTGGAACTAAATGCAATTCAGCAAGGTCAAAAAAACTATCGACGCAGCACTCAAAGTTATTCCAATCGTCGGCATTTCCTACCACAGTCGAGTTCAAGAGAAAGAAGGCACTTTTGTTTTTACCATGGAAGATTTAAAAAATATGCACAAAAGTGTGTTCAACCTTGTGATTGGAAACAGGATCTCAACTCAAGGAAACAGGGAAACTAATTGAAGCACGGACAACGGCGGAACTCTGTGCTATTCACCGTCCAACCGCCTCACTATTACCGACCGAAAAAGTGGTATGAGATTTTTGATTGACACGGGAGCAAATATTTCAGTTATTAGCAAGCCACAGAGACATTCACTAATACAAGATGAACAATGTATACTTTATGCCGCCAATGGTACAAAAATTAAGACATATGGTGAAAAAAACACTCTCTTTAAACTTCGGGCTACGAAGAAACTTTGTATGGAACTTTGTCATCGCCGATGTAACACAACCGATTATTGGAGCAGATTTTTTTAGAGCATTATAAGCTATTAGTCGATATAGCTGGTCGAAAACTCATAGATAGGGTAACTGAGCTGACAACGCCCGCAACCCTGATCAAATCGACGCAGCAAACAATCCGCACTATTAACATTGAGACGAATCCACGCATTACTCAACTATTAAATGAATACGAGGATATTACGAAACCAGCCTCCCTCCACACTACTCCAAAACACAAGATTAAGCATCATATTATCACTAAAGGACCAAGGAAAATATAAGGAACGCAGTATTAACAGTTCACCCCTCTCGCACCGCCCCTTTGGCACTTATGACGGACGCCAGTTCGACCTGTGTTGGCGCAGTTCTGCAGCAGAAGTCAGGACGTAATTGGGAACCATTAGGATTCTTTTCAAAGAAATTAAGTGATACTCAACAAAAATACTCGACATTCGACAGAGAGTTGCTCGGAATATATATGGCAGTCAAACATTTTCAAAGGTTAGTCGAAGGAAGAGAATTTACTATCTTTACAGATCATCGACCTTTGACTTACGCATTTTCCCAAAAACCGTCATCTAATGATACGCCACGGCGAATACGACAACTGGATTTTATTTCACAATATTGTACCAACATTCAACATATAGAAGGACGTGACAATATGGTAGCAGACGCATTGTCACGGATAGAACAAATTGATGTGCCATCACCGATTAATTATGCTGATTTAGCAAGATGTCAGCATGATGACCAAGAATTATTACGACTTCGTAATAACAAGAATTTAAAATTTTCAATCAGCAGAAACAATCAGCACAAATGCAGTGGATAGTTCATCGACTGCCGCCGCCGTCACAACAAAGGCAGCAGTTTTTATTTCCTTCGAATTAGCAACAATGACATTACATTACGCATAGGATGTAATTTATCAGCAAGGTTAAGTTATTATATAATTAGGTACATACTAATTTTTTTCAATTTATATGTTAATTATTTTTAAAAGGGGGGAGTATATGTAGCGGCACGATCACGTCGCTACATTACTTAGATACGATAGAGATAAGACACACATGTTAATTGTTGCACGTTTGTTAGGATAGCTAAATCTGAAAATCTCACGCATCTTCTTAGTATATAAGCACCAGCAATTAAAGTAATAAACAGACCTTAACCATCTACAGTCTCATTATTTACCTTGCCACGAAGTCTGGCAAAATTACTATTAAAATCATCCAACATTGTCAGAATAAAGAAAAATATCAGAAGCTCCTAAATAATTGAGTTTGTTTCTCATTATGCTGCATAAAGACATGCTTTTTGGAATGGATAATTAAAATTAATGAAGTTAGATAAAGCTTTTACTTTGACTTACAAGGATATCATGTGAAGACATGTAGTCCACTGATTCATTAGGCTGTAAGGGTTCCAGAAGACCCACATCTTGGAATGTATTCTGCTGACCATTTGGTGATGATGACTGTGCCTTAACTGGGCGAGGTTGCTGACCATCTATAAAATTATATTAATTTAATTATTATTTTTGGAAACAATAAAACATCTCTGACTTATGGAAAAAGCTAACCAACTACAACATGTGATATATAACAAACCTGCTGGAAAGTAGGTCTTAGACTGCTTATGTGCACACCTCTTTTTCATATTTATTTAGATTAATAATCATTAATGCAGTGGAACATCGTAAAAGGCTGCTATGTCTTAAGTACTTTATCATAACATAATACTTAATTGTAAACTTAGTTTGTGCAATAATTTGTTCTATTTTTTTAAATTAACAGGAAATAACCCAATTGGTATCACAACAGCCCAACCAGTTATAATATAAAAGTGCAACCTGCTGTGTTACTGGTCATCTACTAAACACATTCAGAAATTAAATGAGCAGTACTATGTTTTGAGACTTACCATTATCTCCAATTGAGAATAAATCACTATTTGTGATGTCAGTTATACTACTGGAGGCAGATGTGACAGCAGCCTGTATCAACAATGTTTTATCTTGTACAAATTTAAAGAATCTTCATAATTTAGTATACCAACATGCCATTACAAATATTTAACAAATACAATATACATTGAGCAAAAGAAAAGAGAAAGTAAATTTAATACGAAAACCTGTTTACGAATAAAATGATAATTTATTACGTAGTAGGTACACTTATACCTAATAAGTAGGTCTAAGAAATAAGGTCACTGGTAAATTATTGATTGTTTACAATAAACATAAATCACCTGAGCAGCCTGGGCAAACTGCTGAATCCTCTGAGGCGATGATTTCACCTCCTCAGCCAATTTGTCCTTTAGTTTTTTAAACATTTTTATTTAAACTCTGGTACTTGACACTTTTCACATAAATTCATTATACTTAGCTCGAGCTATCATTGCATTGGTGTGTTGTACGAGCATATAGATAAGCAACACTAATACTCCTAATAAATTCACAATGCCTGGTGGAACACTTAAGACGATAGCAGTAATTATTGGTGTCATGTATTTTACTTCAATTTGCAAAACTATTGTAGTGTTGTTCGATCGTCGATCTTATTCTTCGATCAGTTCTTCTAGTTTTCACTATGGTATATAATTAAGCAATGAATATACAAGTACTAGTACTAGGTATTCCATCAAAGGATGTACATAATGTGAAATTGTACACTAGGTACGAAAGCGATAGTCTATGATTATGATTATGTATAATATACGATTGTACAAGACTCAATAGACTCAAAATGGTTACATTTTGTGGAGTAATTCTGTAACTGAATGTATTGGAAATTTTATTATATTCCCACGCTGCAAAACAAAACAATAATAAATGCACGATGTACAAAAAATTTGCCATTCTACAATAATATTCAACTTCTTCTTTTTGATTTTAAGACAACTAAGATTTGTAGTTAGTTATAACATAAGAGTTTTTCTGGTTTACTCCAAAGACCTACTCTGGATACCTTTTCCAAAGTTCTTTGGACGTGCGTACAACGTAACACGTATAATGGGAGAGATAAGTCTTTTACCGCCTCTCTAATTAAGATTTGTACGTACATCAAATATTTAGACTACAGAAAAATATAATATTTAATTCCTTCATAAGTTCATACTATGGTAACCACGAAGGAATTAACTTTTCTATGGTCTCAGTGCGTAACATTGCCTCTTGTCTTATAATGATATTAATATATATAAATGTATGTCTATTTTTATTTCTAATAATAATATAAAATTATAAGATATTTATATAACCCGTTTAATATATCTTGAAATCCTCTCTCTCTGATCCTGCAAAATTTTTCCCTATCCGGTTTCCTTTCTTAATTAATACGTTTCCCTATCTTTACTTCGTAGTGGCAGTTGCACAAACCGTGCGAGCCAAAACACAAAAAAAAAGTGCGTAACATTTGACATCAGTGACCATAGATGGGTATTGTGTCAGTTGTCATTGACAGTGACAGATATGCATTATTATTTGATTGCATTTGAGTTTGAGTTGTTTTTATTGATTTAGTTTTGAATGGTAAAATATCTTGTTAAGTTAAGCAAACTTACCGCTAAGGACAGTGTGGCTATAATTCATCATTTCTAGTTTGTTGGAATTGTTTTCATCTAATTAATATTTATAAGAAAATTAATTACTAAGGTATAGAAATATTTTGCATTCTTTTCCACGTTAGTTCCACTGTTTAACTTTAACCGGTATGTATAACTTTCGTCCTTTTATCAACGTAAGCAAATAAACTATGTAGTCAATAGCTAAGCCATTCATTATATATCTTTTACATTTGGCGTTCAGGAGAGGATTTTTTGGCAGCAGCAATTTGGTCCTCGTTAACAAATGTTATATTAGAGCTCAAAGATTGTTTTGAAACATATCAATTTGACCTTACAGTTAGCACAGACTGGTTATTCTTTTTGTTCAGAACTCTCTCATCTTTCCTTTCAGGACTCAATATGAATTATGATGACATTTTAAAAGATGATGTCTGTGTTGGGCTTGAAAATGATGATTTCAGGTAAATAGAAACAATTCACAGTAACTGAAAATATTCACTCTTGTGTTTGTGCTATGCTATTGTTACATTCTTTTTGACTTTCAGTGAATATCTTAATGATGAAGATGAAAAAGCTGGCAATAAAAAAGGAAACTATACTAGGAATGATAGTTCTTATGGAGGAAAAGGATCAGGAAACTATGAAGCTGATGATTATGGGCCATCAGGTCATGAACCTCAATATACATGGGGAAGAGGTTTTGGGCCAAATGGTCCACCATTCCCAACAAACAATACCAGACATAATCCTATAGGTTTTTTGATTGGTAAATAATTGTTAGCTTATAAAGTATCTATGAGTATTGTAGATGGATAGAGACATTTGATAATAGTCATTCATACTATAAATAAAACATTTGTGTTTAGGATGTGGTGTTCCAAGGCAATCCTTGAGAGGTCTACCAAGAGCACTACTTAATCTCATGGAGCCTCAATTTTGTGGAGTTTGTAATGTGAAACTTGAAAATGACAACTCAAGTAAGTAATTAAAAAGTTAGCACATCACATAACTACTAGTCACTATACATTTTAAGTGAGAATATCTCAAAAGAGTAAAACTTCTACTTATTATTTGATATTGACTTCAGATTTACATATAGGCATCATCAGGGGTACTTCTATGTGCATTGCCCAAGTGAATATACCTATACTTTTAAATTTTTACAGCTCGTTTACATTATATTTCTAAAAACCACACCAGAAAGCAGAAAACATGGCTCACTCAACAGGGAGAACATGGGCCTCAACGTCCCAAAGAGGTAATTGGATAATTTGACAATGTGATTTTTCAATAGGCATTCTGTCGACAGTATCTGTTCACATAATACAATAGCATTTTGATAGAATTAAGCAAAACAACAGTGTGATGGAGGATATTTATTACACACCTTTAGGATGATGACGGTTGAGGCTGTCAGAAATAAGGTCATAATTAAACAGCATCCAACTTGACTTGCATTTACAAAAAAAAAACATTTAACATTATTATTTGTCATCCTGTGCACATTCTATTATGGGTAACTTTATATGTTTCATATTAGTTTGCTTGTGATACTGTTTTCATCTTTACTTGTCTGTGGGATGGTAAACAGTAAATATCAAGTGAATATTATGTGAACTCCGTTGACTGGATAGAAGATTACATTGGTCAAAATTGTCCAGCTTCACGTTAGCTTTTAGCAGAAACGTGAAGTGTGTTATAGCACAATGTAAGACATATGTATGTATATACATCTCATCAAGATGCCGACATCTCGAAATATTGCTCAATGTTAGAAAAAAAAAAGAAAGTATATTTTTAAATTATCAGAAATAAACAGTCATAAATTAACACCTATGTCAGTTGACTGAATCCAAAAAAATATTGATTCTGTTTATTTATTGCTTCATGCACATGAAAGTATGGGCATTTGATTCAGATGGTTTAATAAAATAAATAAATAATGAATTGTATTTCACTAATTTTGTGTTTTTAGTCTGCATTCAAGGCACGTGAATTGTATTGTGAGTTGTGTGATGTTCACATCACATCGAAGAGTCACGCTGACTCCCATTACTCAGGAAAGGCACATCGTGGGTAAGTTAATTCTATCTCTTATATAGCTTTGCTAAACAAATCAACTTTCTTTTAATCTTTGTAAGAGTAGGCAAAGCAGCTGTGTGTAATTATCATAATTTTTGTTTAAGAGTTGTCGAGGGTCGCAGGGAGATAAAGAACCGATACCTGTTACAAAGAGGAATGGAAGGTCGCTTGTAAGTAAAAAATATTTTATCTAGCATTTTATGAATAAAAACGTTAGCTCAAACTATAATTCCTGTTTAAAAGCAAGTAGTCACCTACTAACGCCAGACATTGTTCCATTCTAGAAATTCTCTAATTCGTCGCGAAAAGAAGTACCTGAAGTTCATTGTAGCAAATGAGAAATCTACTCCTAAGCCTGAACCTGTTAAAGAAGTCGTACTTCCCGATTCAGAACTGTGCTGTAAAATCTGCAAGGTAGTGTATTTACCTCTTCTGACTTTTTATTTAGAAACAAGTGGCAAACCCCTACTGCGCACGTGTACTATTTTGCGGATGTTTCTCGTATGTGTAATTTTTTTCGTCTCATACAACCAAAACAACCGAAAATAATTTTCCAATTTAGTCTAGAAATTCGGAAATTTTGCGTGTATTTTTTTCTAAGTTATAAAGCCACATAGGTGAAAAATAAATTCAATGTTCAGTTTTTTGTATTAATTGTTTACTTTCAGATTACGGTGACATGTATCGAACAGATGACTAGTCATATGAACGGTAAAAAACATCTTTCCAAAGAGAAACAACATATTCTTAAAATGATGAAAGGAGTACCTGAAAATACAAGTAAGTTCTTAATTAAAAACTTATTCACCGAGACTCCATTTTAAGATAAACCACCTGGTTTATCTAACGTATTTACGTAGTGAATGTTACAGTTATCCTATTTATTTAATATTGTAAGATACCTACTAAATGGATACTGATAACACTATTAAATGGAATACGTTTTTCTCCCCAGGCACTCAAAACGCGGACTCTGCTAATGCCGCTCCGGTAGATAACGGTACCTTATATTTTGTTTTGCTTCAACTTTACCTAATTTTTTTTAATATAAACGGGATATCTTTTACTAAGGCTTCGTTGTCCTATCTTGCTACCAAGCTGTGCTGACCTAGAAAGTGAAATGAAATACTGAAAACAAAATGAACAAATATTTAAGGGGCTCCCATACAATAACGTCATTCTTGATAAAGAGTCTTTCGTGCGCGAGACCAGACCCGAACTTGTTCTAATTTCTTGTTTTTTAATCATGGTAATTATTTTGAAGGAGATAGACAAATTCTACTGTACAGTTTCTATTTTGTATTTTAGCTGCCGAAACTTCAGAAGCTCAGGCACAATATGCGGGTGAAAATGATGATTGGTGTGATGGAGATGGCACCTGGGATGAGTGAGAACACTCAGTACAGATTAGAAGGTAATAAAATAAGATTAGTAGATTTAAATTAAAACATAAATACCCATAGTGAACAATATTTATTGATGTAATAAAATAAATTCGTTTTATAATTCTGTCTTATTACTTAGATTGCTTTACAATTTACAATGTATATTTGTGTAATTGTACATAATTTTCTTTTCACAGAATTCACGTTATGGTGCGCTTTCACTGCTGCCGTATTCTGGAAGAGTGCATTTATTAAAATGTAATTATTATTCAATTTAATAAAGAGATATGATTATGTTATTGACTTTTTATTTGACGGTTTGTTTACATGTAACATCTGATATGAAACAAATTTAAAATTACGTTTAGTACACAAGCACATGTGCACGTTGCCATTTATTAAATCTTCTTGTCTATACTAATATTATAAAGAGGTAAAAGTATGTTTGTAAGTTTGTATGTAGGGGGTAATCTATAAAACGGCTGGTCTGATTGCAAAAAAAAAAAACTTTCACTCATAGATAGCTACAATGTTCCTTAGTGCTATAGGCTATAAAACATCACGCTACGATCAAATGGAGCTGAGAAGCGGGTGAAACCGCGAGAGATTAGCTAGTATTGTATAAGTCATCAAAATTCTACCCATAGAGGCTAGTCCGTCTGAGGGACGTTTTATGAAAGACTTCAACGGGTTAAAATCCATGTGGATTTGTCATGAATGTTAATGTCCTCCACACTTTTCACACTCACAACTAAGTAGGTACCTACCTACATAATAATAACTGCAATTATTTGATTGAATAGGTAAAGGGCAAAATGCAACAAATACACTACACGGTTTCATTCATTTATATACCTACCTACGTTTAAAAAATATATTTATTGGGATTTTCTTTAAACTTACACTATTCCTCTGAGGTTTTGTTGTTAATTTCAATTACATATTAGCAACACGAGTTCCTTCTTCGTCGACGCCGTAAACAGCCGTGGGTGTAACCATACCAAAGTGCTGCTCCTAGCACTGTTAGTAGAACGACTAGTACTGCTACTTGTACTTTAGGGTCCGAGAAGTCTATGTCTAGTCCACCGCTTGCACCGCCTTTTCCTTTCGTTGATGAACTTTTTTTGACGGCCGATGAACTCTTGGCCATTTTTGGCGTAGATTTTGATTCATCAATTTGTCCCATTTTTCATCATTCTATTAATTTATTATTTATTAAAGTCATGATTTTAGTTTTGTTAGGAGGCGTTGTTTGTAAATATCTATTATTTTCATTTTTATTACATGATAATCATATCGGAATTTTGGTAATGAATTTTTACAATAGGCTCATTTGAGTCTACCAGACATCAAATTGAGTGACATAAAAGTCTTGATCAAAGAGTATAATAATCTACATATAGGGCCTTGATAGAGGAAAAATGTTATCCATACTTCGTGGTTTGTGGCTGGCCTTTCTGCGAAGTTATGCTCGTAAAGATGGAGGCAGAGCGCGCAAGGGAGTGCCGTCTTCATGCCGACGGAACATTGCGTTGCGCGTGCGCTTGTGCGTCTTCCTTAAAGACCCAATAGACCACCAAAGACGGGGCCTCGGCCTAGAGCAGGAGAAGGAAAGGGAAGGGGGTGGGGGGGTTTAATACAGTAAAAGGCTGACACTCCCGTCTGACCCTAGTCGGGAGAAGACATTTGATAACTTTCCCCTCTCAATAAAAGGTTCATCCTGTCACAAATATGTGGGTATGTAGAAATAAGTGGGGTTTAACATCTATGTACCTTACTTTCGGTTAGTAAACAGGTACCACGGTACCTACCTAAACAATTTTGAGAGGCTGATTGTTTATTTGTTGTTTAGTAACTAGATTACACATAGGTTCCTACCAATTATTACCTCAGTTCTTTTAAATTATTTTTTATCAAAAGCGTAGGTAGTTAAATGTACCGATGATGGTCATTTTACTGTCATACGTTTATTTCTAAAATTCAAGGGTTAAATTATATGATATACTTATTTAAAATGAAATATTACCAAGAGAATAATAGAATATTTTTTACGTACGTTTTGTAATTACTTAATAATGATAAATTAAAAAAAGTTAAGTTTTACAAAATCATTGACCTTTCTGGCCTAAGGTAGCAGTCTTCATCGTACCAGTTATCGGCTATTTACAAACTTGAAAGTGATTGCTTACTTAAATTATTTTAAGGTTTTTAAAATGGATAGATCGACAAACGAGCAGACTGATTACCTGATGGTATGCCATCGGCCGCTCTTGGACACCCGTGACACCAGAGTAATGAAGGAGGGGAAGGATAGGTCTTCAAGTAACCTCACTTACACGGCGGAACAATGTTGTCGTTGTTTCACGCCGGCTCTCCCACACTGAATACTAGATATTGTAACTCAGTTTGAATAATAAGAAAGGGGTATAAAAACTCATTTATTATAAAGAACATAATTTAATGCATGACAACATTTGCTTCTGCTAATGTGTGCAACACAAGTGCAAAAGAAAACATTGAAAAACAAAATAGTTAAACTTTTGGACATAGTTGGTAGTATTTTTAACACATGTGAATATAATATAAATGAGTAAATCATTGCATAAGGTGAGGTCTTTTAAGAAATTATAACTATTTAAAAATATAAAATACAGTATGCACTTACACATAACTATCATGGCTCAAATAGTCAAATATTGAGTATGCTTAGGTTATAAAATAAACCTTTGATTTTGTAGCAGCCATAGCTCTTAATCTTTGGAATGTATATTCTTCATTGGAAACTATTTATTGCAAAGTACAGATGTAACAATTTATTCAGAAATTGCTTTCTTTAAAACACTTCAACTGATAGTGACCTATTGTACATTTTCTTTAGGCTTTCATGTTTCACATTACTTCGTCACAATCAACATTATTTAGATATATAAGGATGACAGTTTATAATAAATAATGCTAATGTGGTCTTAATGGTAGACAGAATGACCAATTATAACATAAGTAAATTGTGGTAACAACATGCCTGACTATTCTTAAAGTAAACATGGATAAGTAAATTGGTTTGTTAATGATTGGATACATGCAAATTGAGTGATTCATAATAGCTTTTTTAATAGCAAATTCATCACACCCCAAGCAAATACCAGCATTAACACACCTATTGGCTTACTATTGTGTCTCGAATAACCATGATTGGTAAAATAAAGTTTCTATTTTTGGATAAATAGTTTTGAGTTAAATAGTAATAGCAATAATTGCTTAAAGTATTTAAAAACATATCAAGAATTAGATTAACTAAAATTGGCATTAGTTGGGTACTTTATTAGTAGAAACTGAATGCCGACCATACACCTTTAGAGGATACCACTACCACACTATTCCTTGTATAAAAGCACAAATATTGTCTATAATTACAATATTTCTAAGGCTATTTGAATTTTTTTGGCTATATAATACTTGAGATCCTTTAATCTATACCTGGCAGATCATCTTCATCAGACGAGCTGCTAGCTTCTTTGTCGTTTTCATCACCAAAGTTTGGTAATTTGCTGGAGAACATGTCATTCATATCATCAAATTCATCTCCACTCTCATCTTCATCTTGCCAACGGTTGAAATCTACCTTGAGCCAGTGGTGTTTCTTTTTGTCACTGGTTAAGGCAGGCCAAAAAGGTTCATCAGTTTTTGCTTTTGCCAAAACAACTTCGATTAACCTTCCTTTGTTTGTATATGAACTTTTGTCTGGGTCTATTTCAGAGTATAATGGTATGAAAACCTTATGTAATTTCTGATCTGGCGTACAAGTCCCTTCAAATGAGACAGATTTTTTAGAAATTACAATATCTGGCTTTTCACATTCTACATTAAATGTCAAAAATACACGAGCACTCCTCTGCGCCCACGAAACCGATGGTGGTGTAGCATTTATTTCCGGTGTCATTTCGTCTGAAAACGAGGCATATAAGCGTTTATTGTACACGAAACGTTGATACAATTATGTTTTGGGATTATTAGATATTATACTTACATTGTTTGCTAGTGTTATTAGATTAGTACTGACAAACAACGCTAGCTTTAGGTCTTCACTCAGGCTGGCTAAGGCTTATGGCAGGTACTTTGACAAATACAGGAACAGCAGAATGAAGGGCTGGTTGTGTATGTTGACATTTCGAATTGTGTTGCCAACGTTTGATCACAAACCAGTTCGATATAAAGAATACTATACATTGTCCTACATGGTGTGCTAGTGCCATACCATTTGTCACTAATTACCTAGTTCATTGATATAATCATTATATTATTATATAAATAACTTTCAAATTATTTTGTATATTTTAAAGTCATGTATGTAATATATATGATACCTGCTGTATGTTTTGTTTATGATTAAGACACACTTTGTCGTCTTTTTGGTATAAAATGCAATGCGATTGAATAACAAATTGAAAATCGCATTACCCATTATTACTTTTCTTTATTAATTTATAATCTTTGACGACACAAATTTATTTTTTATTTAGATAATAATTTATAGTGTAGCAGTTATGCAATATGACGAGTGGATATTTTAGTATTTGGCAAAACGTAGTGGTTACATACTCTTTGGTATTTGGCCACATCTTAATCAGGCTATACTAAACTAGAAAAACTGCTAAATTCTAAGACCTTGCAGTTTAATACCTACCTACTGACTAAGCACTGTTACATGACTGTTGCTCACTGATTACAGGTAGTCAATTTCCTATAATTAATTTACAAGGTGAAAATTGTTACAACCCATTTTTGTAAAACTATTTTATAAGTTTCAGTCTTACCTGTTATACGCTACATTTTTCTTCGCGAATTAAAAAAATATATAAATTATGTATGTTTTTTTGTTATCTTAATTGTTATACTAATATACTATTAGCTGTTAGGGTAGATAGAGAACCTATATAGTACAATTCTCACTCAACAAATAAAAGACAGTCTACGAATCTTATGTTTTATTTTTCGAGGGTAACCTCTATGGCATTTTTCATGTTATGTTAATAGAAAATGATTGTTATGATACAATTTCATAGTAAAATAAATAACACAGTTTTCCAGCACTTGGTACTTAATACTACCTATTCTCACACTCCTGAACAACGCATTTATAGAATTCTACTTTAATTAGGACACTTAGATACCTACCTACTATAAGTTGACAATAGGAAGATACTCATTAAAAATATAACATACCTACAATGATATTAAAAGTAAAAAGGTGTAGATAGCTTACAAGCGCTCAGTAAGCGATATATTGAAATGTGGCTAACTAGCCACACTTTTTCATATTTGTCTCTTTTTCACTCGCGATTAATTGAATCATGCCATCCCACTTTAACGTGTATCATACGCTTTATTCTTGAGTGCATTAGAGTGCCGTTTTTGAAAATTTTGTTTATGAAACAATGAAACAATGAATTTATTTTTGCAAATAGGCCATAAAACGGCACTTTTACACGTCAATTTATATGTAAAAAACTAGATGAAGCCGGCATTTCCTATCTGACTACTCTGAGAAGAAATGCCGAAACAAACTCAGAGGTCAGTCTCTTTTCAAGTCCAGACAATGTAAAAATAACATAATGTGAGAGAACCGTGCAAGTTCATTCTGTAGTGGTCTTTTGATGAAAGAACCACACCAGTTTAAGTGGACCCGTTCTGAAGACAGGCACGCATATGTAACCAATCTTCACCATTTTACTTATAATATCATTGCATACCTATGTATTTATCCATAAAGGTACATCACTGGACTGAAGTGGACTGTGAATTTTATGAGGTTCAAAAGTATGTAGTCATTTTTATTGTACCTGATGAGGATATAACATCATCTGTCTGTAGGTATGTCAACTTATTTACAGTTAGAAGTTTCGCGTACATTGTACCTATATTACTAAGAAAAACTAAGTAACGCGTACTGAATGATATTACAACACTATTTCGACGAGGTTTCACGACACATTTCTGCGGAGGCGGGATATTAAAAATAAACGTGTGATTTTTCACTTGTCCATCACGGCACTATAAGGTATAGTTAACTGTTGCAAAATTATCTTCTAAAACATTATTCCAACAAGATGGCAATTAAAAGTAGGTACTTAATCAAATAACTTATTTAACTTATTGAGAAAGGCACTGTTAAATAACTCCACCATTATTAAGGTATGTGTCCTTTGCTATCTGGTAAAGTTGTGCTGACATTTTTTCACTGGTTTCTTTGACCATTTTGGTGAAGTGTCCCTCGGGGTTGTTTAGGAGGAGGTACGGATGATCGAACTCGACTAGTCGCCCAGAGTCCATCACCATGACTCTGTCCGAGTCCATGATGGTGTTCAGTCGGTGAGCTACCGTTAGCACGGTGCAGTCTGCAAACCGCGTCCTAATTGTTCTTTGGATAAATTCATCCGTCCTGAAAACATGTTATAAATACAACTTAGCTATCTTTGCATTTCATATGACAAATTAAATAACAAATTGAATACAATTGGATGTAAAATACTAGATTATTAAATCAATTATATGGTTTACTTAGGATCGACGTTAGCGGTTGCCTCGTCTAGCACGAGGATGCGGTTGGCGCGCAGAATAGCGCGCGCGAGGCATACAAGCTGCCGTTGCCCCAATGAAAAGTTCGACCCTCCCTCTGACACCTTGAAGTCTAGTGACGGTACTGCAGCCTTCAAGTCCACCTAAACAAAAACATGATAACTATAAGTATTTATCTACAAATATTTTTATTGGCACTGTTACATAAGCTACATAATGTAGGTCTTACTTTTAAGCTATTTGAATACCAAAATTTATTTAACAAATAGTTTTGTTTGGATTCTTACTAGTCAAATGCAAATTCACATAAGTTTTGGTGGCGTAGCTACGTAAATGTCGTTGGCAGGCCAGAAGGAATGTTTAAAATGTTAGTCAACGTATTTTTAACGTTTAAAAGTTGGAAGCTGGCTTGAGAAGTATTTGTGCGATTAGGTAAATACAGTTTTGTTCATTAAATTTAAGTGGTGAGACTGGTAGGCTTTCGTTTATGTAGCTATTAAAAAACTCACAGCTTCTAACGCCTGCCATAGTTGGTCGTCATCGTAGTTGTTGAATGGGTCCAAATTGTACCGGACAGTTGCTGAGAAAAGTACCGGCTCTTGAGGTATAATTGATATCTTGGATCGCAGCTCCTGGAACGCAAGTATTATTTTTTGTTTACATTATTAATTACAGATTAAAAAGCTATTCCACTCCGAAAGTTAATTCAATGTTAATTAAAGCAATACGTTTACCTGTAGAGCCAAATAAGAAGTGTCCACATCATCAATAAGCACTTCTCCTTCAACGATGGCGAGGCGGAACAGAGAAGAGATCAACGATGATTTGCCGGCTCCAGTCCTTCCTACAATGCCCACCTGTGAACATTGCGATTACGTGAATATCGCCGCAACAAAACTATGGGTCAGTGAATAAATGCACCGAAATCAATGAAGGCCATTCCATTTTACCTTCCATCCACTTTCTATGACTAAATTGAGATTCTTAAGCACTGGCAAGTCTTCGGGAGTATATTTCATGTAACAGCTCTTGAATTGAATTCGGCCACGCGTAGGCCAGCCTTTCGGCGTTTCACGTTCTGTAAAAAAAACTTACTTTAATTATTTCATTCTTGTTGTATATAATTGTTAGTTCCGGTGTTTACAATTGTATTTAATACTAGCCTCCTTTGTCCCACTTGGGTTCTCGTTCGATGTGCGTATACTGCAATATTCTTTCTACACTGGTCATCTGTGAGATGACCTCTGCGGTCTGCCTCACTCCGAATTGAAGCATCCCCGTTAGAATCAACGTCTGCGATATCGCCAGACCCACGTTGCCCGAGAATATTGTTTCTGTGAGATGTAATAATAATGTTAGAATGCAAATAATTTTATAGGTGTCGTAAAAGTTTATATTATTTTAAATTGTGGAAGTGCTCACTGCTGTCGATGACGAGGAAGGCGACGATGACTATGGTGAGGTATATGACACAGATGAAGTCCAGCCAGAAACCAAGCGTTACGCCGCTCGCCAGGTAGCTGCTCCACGTCGAAGTGTGAATGTCCTGTTCACATATGACACAAATGTTAACTTGAAGAGAGTCCTAATACTGCTGTTATGAAAAAAAATGAGTTTTTTAGCAAGTTCATAGGATCTAGTAAATGACCCGGCTTACTTATACATATTTTAAGATACAATTTCCATTAGTTGAACTAAGAGGCCTCAAAGCTATTAAGTAACAACGAAGTAAAAGTTGTCATATACCTAATTAGTGTTACGTTTTAACGTACCTGAAATCTATCAAATTCCTTAATCAATCTTTGTTCCGCTCCAGCCGACCGAATTGTGCAAATGCCATTAAGGGTAGCAGACATATGTGAAAATACTGGACTACGAGCTGGAAGAAGTTTGTTAATATTACAAAAGATTTTTTGACTGGAACTATATTTAAAATACTAACAGTTTATTTAATACTCACTCGTGCCTTCCAATCTTTTAATACCCTGGGCAGACTTCAGATAAATTTGAAGGATAGTGTAGAATAGTAGAAGGATGATAGTTGTAGGCAATAGAGTCCAAATTAGTGCAGCTGCATTGAGGGCTAGGATACTGAACATCACCAGGTAAATCTGGATACATTCAAGAAGGAAACGTGGTAACAATTCGTCGAGTGCACCGATGTCTTTGGAGAACCTGTTTAGGATTCGGCCTGCGAACAACATTAAGGACATTAAGAACAAGATTCTTTACATTTTACTTTGGAAATTATTTTATAGACATGCTGGTACTTACCGGAGGAGTTAGTATCGAAGAACCTCATCACTCCTCTGAGCATAGAATGGAACATATCATTATGCAGGTTGCGGGACGCGGTCATGCACACCTTGAAGAACATGAAAGCACGCGCTGTGATGAAGAATATGCAGCAAACAATCAATGCGGAGTACACGTACAAATACTGAGCAGTATCCAGAGGTCCTATATATGCGTGTATGTCTAAGTCTGCAACAAAACAAGATGGATCAGTTTTTAGAAGAATCCATTCGTAGATGACAGGATCAATAATAATAGGTACCTACAGACTTTCGAAAATAGGCAAGAATATGTAAATAATATCCACCTAATCAAATAATTTGAGCTGATAATTACCTGGCTTGATATTAACCCCAGAGAAGTAGCTGGATAAATTGAAGGTGCCATTATCAAGTGGAGGCGACCGATCCACACGGTAGTCCTTGGTTGTTCTGTTATTAGCAGCTTCCTTTAGTGTGGTGACTTCGTTTGTCCTACAATTGAATTGTCAATTTAGTCGTATGTTAGCAATAAGTAAAGGTCAATGCTAAATCCAAGCTAATCAAGGATGTTCATTGCTTTCTAAATTCAAAAATATTTGAACCTCGTAAATGATTATAATCGCGTATCATATATATCTCTTTATTTAATAGTCCCATCTGTTTGGTTATTTTAATTCGAGTAAATGTATTGGTGATGTACCAGAATGTGACCCAGTAGTCACAGAGCGTGGCGGACAGTTGCCCAACGACTAGCAGTACTATCATGAAGATGAGTGGTGGGGCGCGGCCACCAGCTCGCAGGTATGCACCATACACCCTCCAGCCCATCGACCCTGACTCCCGTTCCTCTTCCTCCATCTCCTGCGCCACCTCACACCCGCCTGTTGACTCGCACAGCGAAGGACGCCGTGTCGTTGATAACTGCAAGATAGATAATTTAGATCAAAAGATGAATAAACCCGTTGATTTTTTCACTATTACTTAGATCTTAATTTTAGTTATAATAATCTGGACGAGTAGGTGGATTTTTTCTTCAATTTTGGAATAGTTATTTCCATAGAGCTTTTCTAAGGTTTTTATTTCACATGAAATTTTGGTTTAGTGTTTCAGCAAGTAGATATCATCATCATCATCATTATCAAATTCATACAAATCATCCATACATCCAAGATTTCGCATTAATAACAATAATAAATATCTCAGATTTTATAATTGCTGAGTTGGTATATTTTTTTTGCTGCAAACAGGTGTCGATCGAATTGAAATTACAGTAATTAAGTTTTGGGTCAAGATCTTTTAGAAAATAATCACTCCGAAGCAAATTACATGAATGTTTATTGCGAAATTTTGCATTGGAATTGATTAATAGCTAGATCTGTGCAAAATCTAAATGGTATAAATGTTCTTATCTCATCACTAGATAGTACAAAACAAAGTCGCTTTTTCTGTCGTTTTTCTTAACAGATAGGGTGATTAAAGAGGTTAGCTTATATGTATGATGGGATCTATTAAATAGTGGAGAAATTTAGTATGAGCATTGCAGCCGTGTGAAGTCGGGGCGGGCTCGGCCTTAATTTAAACGAATGCAGCTTCAGATGTTAACAATAAGGAATCATACTATTCTACCCCGAATAACATGACTACGCAATATCGACCAGTCGCAAGGTCTTTCCATAAATTTAAATTCAATCACGCATTTGATTAGGCTATTGTAGTTTTGAAACTTACGTACAAAAACTTAAGGTTGGAATTTAAGAATTTTTCTTCTGGGTATGTAAGGGGTAGATTTATGACTCTACGATATGTAGGGTGTAGTGTAAAAATCTCGTCACGTGCGTTAAGAACCGCTGTGGTGTTGGGTCGACGTATGTTACATAGAATTTGAGGATTTTAACATTTTATTTTTTTCTAACTGTGAAAACACATAATTCTATCATTCCAATGATGATCCATCTAATTGTTAATTCAGTATTTTAGCATTTCCATGAACGTTGCACTGTTTTGACTTGAAATACTTATTTTATGGAAAGTTAAGTGAACAATGAGGAACCTGCGGCAATAATTTTTGAAGTTTGTGTACTTACCCTAGCAGACGTTCGTCTAGACATCGGCGGCGGTTTTTCTACATCTTTCAGGTCTTCATTTTCATCGTGACTGGATGAAAGTAATTTTGCGAAGTCTTTGCCTGTGTTTACCAACTCATCGTATGTTCCTTTAGCTTCTACAGAACCCTAGTAAAACAGAACAAAAACATGTATTTTTGAACATCTTAGCTCTAAAATGTGTCATTGCATCTGTTTTTGCTATCACAACTCTGTAGCTAGCTTGTAAGCGAGCTATAGTAATTTATTTAAATCTTGCAATTCTACAATAGTTGCATGTAGGAATTAAATGAATTTATATCTGGTCACATTGCGATAAAACAAATGAGAAGCAAGAAATGAGCTGGTGAGTTCATTGACTTATAAATAGGTAACGAAATGTATCGTTACGTTGTTCATGATGACGATGTAATCGGCGGCCTTGAGGTAGTGCAGCTGGTGCGTGACGAGCACGCGCGTGGAGTGCCGCAGGTACCCGCTGATGCACTCGTCGAACAGCTGCCGCCCCACGTGTGCATCCACGGCCGACAGCGGGTCATCCAGCAGGTACACGTCCGCCTGCACAAACGCAAGTGCAGTTTTAGGAGACACTTTCAGGAACCCATGAACTTTATACGGCTATTGGTACGGGAAAGCTCTTTTTTCGATACACAAATGATTGTTTCAAGTCTCGTTATACTCCCAATTTACAGCAAAACCGAATAGGTTTTGACAAATTATAGAAAAAATGACGATTTGTTAAGCAAAAGCGTTGTCGACGAAACAAGTTATAAAATTGCAAGGTTTCGCTAAGTGTTTTAACCACTTACCTAATTATGTAAAGTAGCAAAAATACTTATTACCGAGTACCTCGATGCTTTTCGTTTAAGGCGTCGTAATGCAAATTAAAAGTCAGTTCATGAGCCCGGTTAAACCTAACCGGCTGTAAAAGGAAACGGTTAGCTTTGTCGGTTCATTTTCAGAGATGAGCTTAATTTTATTGGGATGTTACCTCGATGCCGTTAAAATGCAATGTGTTCATAAGATTATGTAATTCATCAAACTCCAAGCGATCGCGGACCTATTGTTCTTTGATTGTGTTTCGAATCACACACAATTCAAAGGTTAAGTATTTGATTGAGAACAGGTTACTTCATTATGGACACTTTATATTGGTTGAATGTCTTTAAATTTTTTGCTACTTTTCTTTTAGCTAATACAACTACTCGCAATAAGCTGCATATGCAAAGAAATTCATTTAATTTTTGTACATACTTGTCTATAGACTGCTCTGGCCAGGTTGATACGTGCCCTTTGCCCACCAGATAGCGAGGCTCCTCTTTCTCCCACGAGCGTCTGGTCACCATGAGGAAATTGTTGGAAATCTTTCTGGAGGGCGCAGACCCTTACTACCTGTAATGGGAAATTTAGAAAAAGTATAGCTAGACACGTCCTTTTAACATAACAGAAAATAAGTTGGCAATATTAGTCCCTGCAGGCGTTATTGAGTTATTCGCTTACCAACATATTTCGGGATTCATTTTTATATTTATAGATTGAGTAGGTAAGTATTTTGCAAAAGATTGTGTAGAATATCTATACCGTTAGACAAGTGGTTAATACTTACTTCTTTATACTTTTTGGAGTTGTACGGTAGACCAAACAGGATATTTTGTCGGACAGTGGCTACGAATAGCCAGGGCTCCTGACTTGCGTAGGAAACGGGTCCCGAGAGATAGATTCTTCCATTAGTCGATCGCAGTTCGTTCAGCAGCAATTGAAGAACTGAACTCTGAAAATTGACCACAGTATCTTGTGTTAACTCCCAAATGGGACTTATACTTAGTATTATATAACAGCACTGGTCAGTTTATTGTAGTTAGTCCTCTGCATACCTGAATATGATTAGGGAATAATAAGAGTTACCTACAAGTATAATGTTTTGTTATGAACTTGGGAAACTGAAACATTGTAAATTTTTTATCCATTTAGTGGCAATGGAGATGGTTATAACTTCTTAATTCCATTTTTGGTAAGTGTTAAACGGTACTTTCCATATCGGTCCACTACTTGGCACGTTCACAACTGGTAATTCTACGTACCTTGATATTTTTGGTAGTTGTTTATCTAATATTTACTGTGAATTCACGTCCGTTTAGTAGTTTAAGGTACTTGTGAAGCGGAAATATGTTATGTGTACTGACGGTTACGTCAAGTTACCTACAATCCTCAATTTGGACGACTACATTTTAGGTACTTGATTTCTAATGTTTAAATAAATATATGCTGCTGTTTATAAACTATTACGAAGAAATAGCTTTTTTTAGATACTTTTATGCGCAAGTTCAAGTTGAGGCATAACTTTTATTGCCTTTATCGCAGAATAAAGTTTCGCAGACTAACCTTTCCAGATCCTACAGATCCTATGATGGCGCAGAGCTTTCCTTTAGGTACTGTAATGTTGAGCTGGTTCAGACTGATGGGCCCGTCGTCTGTCCAGCTGGCGCTCACATTCTGGATCAATATTCCAACGTCTGGGTTCACTGGCATCGGACACAGAGTCGAGCTCATCAGTCCTTTTTCGCTGCACTCAAATCCTATAAAGCCAGTAAATGAGGATCAATTACATTCAGACTTTATGTTTAGGCAAATTAATTTTGTTTATAGTAACCAAATTTTATGAATGAAAAATTTTATGAGGTAATCTAAAAGCATAAAGGTTGTCTAAAGCATACATTGTACAACGTGAATATGTGAAATCGATCCGTCTGTCCATGATTAGACAACTAGACTACAAAGGATAATAGTAAACCATTGGATAAATAATGGCGAGTCCAACCGGTTGATTCAATCTGTAACCCTTTCAATGCGGTAAAGAGCGGACGCTGCGTGTTTTTTTTGTTGATAAACACGTGTGATATTAAATTTACGCTGAGCCTTAGCGTAAAAAACCTTTTGAATGTTTTATCAACATTAGGATTATTGGAAACCTTTTACCAACGGAATGGAGAAAATCCTCCTTTGAAAAAAAGGAAAAGCTCTCGAACCCTCCAAACAGTATTATGTATAAAAAAAACTAAGCCAAAATAAACACATCACCACAACTCGTAATACACCAAAGAGAAAACAAGCAACGAAACACGGCCCACCACGCGCTGCGCAAAATTGCTTAAACTCATTAAAAATAATTTACTTGAATAACGAAACCTAACCCAATACTGCAATAAATAGTTTAGTATAACTAATTATGGGTTTTACGTTATTATCCATATTGAGTTACTTGTTTCTTGCAGCACAGTTCGTGCAGGCGACAAGCACGTATGTATGTATTTGCTTTGAAAGGAATCTAGTACATTTCACTTTCCTCAAATATTTAAGTACTGTGTTATTTTTAACGAGTTGTTTTTAATAATATTGTCATTTGATAGATGCTTATTACAAAAAAACTATTTCTGAACAAATTCCATACACCATACCCTTAATTAAGTAGAATCCCAAAGGCCTTTTTCATTATTCGTAGAGATATTTATAGTTGGTAATTTTTATATAAACAGTCTCACTCAGCAAGGGCATGAATTGACAATGTGAGCGAACATCACACGACTTCAGTTACAATTTAATAAACACCACGATGTAGAAGTCACCACTGAGCAGGTAATTCAACACAAAGATATTTTTACATAACCTTTACCGTATGTGTTTTAAAGTACATAAGTACATATAAATGTACTATGTAAGCACACTAGGTAAAAAAACAGCAAACGTTTCACACACGAACCGAATACCTTCCATTTTTACCTTCTTCGCTCATTTCAGAATCAGAATCTGAACTGGAGTCGTGAAATACTCTGATAGAGTTCATTGACCCTGTGATCTTTATTATTGGCTTATTTGTTTTTGCTAATAATGACTGTGTTATGGTTGTGTCATCTTCGTCTTGGGTATCCAATTGAGTTGTGGATGGTAATAGTGGTATACTGCCTGAAAACGTATGTATGTAAGTGCCATTGAAAAAGAAGTGTGTTTTAATGAATATTAAGCAATTTAATTAAATATTGTGATATGTTTCAAGATTGGTTTAATGTTTGGATTGCAGGAGTTATAAGTAGTAAGTCTCTGTTCTTGTTGAGAAGAAAAATACAAGAGTACTTCAGTTTCTCCGAAAACACGCTACAACGATGTCGAGGAGACTATGCCGAAAAATGTGACGGTAGTTAACGAAACGAAGAAAATGTGTGAAGTGTAAGAAAATATACCTTATCCTTAAAGACAGCGGCAAAATGAAATATTCATTACCCTTACGTTGTATATATTAGAACTTACTTCTCATATTTGTAGTTAACTTGTAATTTATACCTTACCTGGATTATAGATGCCTTCCTCGTCGATTTTCTTGAACGTGTTGGGACGTAGATCTACCTCGCTAAGATTATGGTTCTTCTTCTTGTTCTCAACCATTTGTACTAGTTTAGCGATGTCTACGTCCGGAACGCTGCGAAGGTCCTCCCGCTCATCTGTTTACAATACCAGCTTACGTTAATTCAATACTGACACACTTTTATTATTTTCCACGACGCCATTTTTTTGTGATCACATTATTATTGTTGCATGTTTCGTTCATTTCAATGACAAGTGAAAAGTTTTTATGAATCCCTCTTTAATGACAATATTATTCTGTTGAATTTATAAGTGCTTATAGATTATTAAACTTAAATAAAATATTTTTTGGCTATGAAAATGGTTCGTGATTATACTTAAAAATCATTATTATATTGTACATACTAGTAATTAAATAAAGAATCGTCAAAAAGGTTGGTCTTTCATAGATAAAAAGTTGATAACTTAATATTAAAATAAATAGTATTTACTTAAGTATAACAAAACCCTTAAAATAAAGGTTAGTTCAAAATAATTGTTAGTAAGTAGCCAAACAAGAGGCGAGATCACATGTGATTATAATACTTGAGAAAACATAAAATGCCGATTAAACGAATATTAGTAAGGACAGGAAAAAGATGATGGTGACGTTTCAAGTGCACCGTATACATTTATAAATGTCATAGAAACCCAAAACGAATCGGACTATTCTCGTACCCAAGCTTAACATTGCCTCGATACGGAGTACAGAGGTATAAGACTCCATGATCATAGACAGGCATGTCGGCATTTGGATAGCCAGTGACAGCTGGAGTATGTTGAACATTTGTGCCAACGGGAACGCCTGCGGAAATCACTTATTTTATTCACTCTGACTATTTTTCTCCTGTGTCGTACCTACCTAGCACTTGTATACAAAGTATAACTCTCAACACATGTATACCTACGTGTTGTGTTAGTCATTTGTTATGTATAGTTTCTACAACTACTCATGAATTCACAAGCATGTACCTACGTGAAGATTGTCTCATTTGATACTATCACACGTGATTCTGGTAGTAAGAGTGATTTTATTTTTTTAGTTCAAACATTCAACTAAAAGCCAGTTGTATTCTTGTTAAGTGTTATGTTCTACAGTTTACGTATTAATTAACAAATTGTGTGTAGGTGGTTAAAGGTAGGTTTAGTTTAGTGTAAGTTAGGTATTTTGCAATCATTTTTTTGCGATATAATACAGCCGATATTTGTCGGCGTTAGTGCTTATTAAAAAGGTTAAAAGGCATTTTAGTTCTACATTGTTTCGGTTATCAACGCCGAGCCACGGATATAATTTGGACTCGTAGTTAAAAGTAGTTGCAAAATTGCATGCATTTGTGCAAAGATCCGAGAGAGACCGTTCGGCCTCACATACCGAATAACATAAACGCCTCGAGGCGCTGCACTGATATTAACGCCTCTGCCAAAAATGACACGGCATTCGACATGATTATCGATAGAGTTCCTTGTAGAGTGTTGAAGAATTGCGCCAGTGGGAACACCTGGAAATTGTGCACGTACAATGTACTGGCCCTCATATACATACACAAAGACATCACCGGGGGCCATTAAATAGTTTTTTTTGTTGAAATCTGCATGCAGTTAACTTTTTTTTGTTCAAATTAGGTCATGCGTTATTGCATTGAGCTATAAAATTAACAAACAATATAAAGGCTAAAACAATTTATCGATCAATCGAAACTTGTTAAGATGTAACATTGGGTCGATTCTTTTTGTAAGTTAATCTTAATCTGTTCCTAATTGTTCGATACCTAATTATACGGCTATTGTTCTTGATTATAGGTTTAAAATATGAGGGACTTATTGTATAATAGAGCGGTAGACTTACAATATCGGCGGTAACTTGGAACCCGAACAGCGAGTAGGAGAGCAGTGTGATATACAGGGTGAGCCTCTCCGTGAACACCATGAAGCTGAGGTACACTCCTCGGAGGTATGACGCTGATGTAATACACTTGATTTCGTTCTTGCGAGCCAAAGCTACTACCTGCTCAAAAGGTTTCTCCCAGGCGTACATCTTAATCACCTAAAATAATGACCAATGAATAGAATCTCCTGCTTCAGCGTCCTCGACAAAAAATGAATGAATGTGCATTTAAAACCTTGAACCTCATCAATTGGTTGATGTACTGGTGTACTTGTATCATTAGAGTCTTTGTAAAGACTTATTATTGCTTTGCGGTTTATTGGTAAATGCAAAAATAAGTTGTGGCATATGACTAAACCAGACCCGATTACAACTAAATATAATTATTGTAAAAAATTAAGGGCGTCATGTTGTAGGTAGGTTTACAATTTTCCTTATTTATTTTTTGTCGTAAAGGCTCTGCATGGAACATGTGTTGTTATTTGTTGCACTATGCGCTTCATATTCTGATACAAAATAATCAATTAATTAAATAAAGTTTGTGATTTTATGTGAATGTATTTACATTATTATTAATGCAAATAAAATTCATATTATTTATTAAAATGTAACATAAGCTAATGTAACATTTTGTTGTGTTTAATAAACGTTTAATGAGTACACTAGAAAATCCAGATCAACATACCTGCATGCCACTAATAATCTCGTCCATAATTCGCACGCGCTCGTCAGTTTTGCACGCGGTCCTCATTCGCAGCCTTGCCGCCAATTTACTCATGTAAGCTGCAAGAATAAAATAACGCTTCTGAATGTTTATTGCATTTTTAAAAGACGCTCTGCCATCTGCCCACACGATTTTATCGGGTGTCAGTAATTTATGTGTCTTTATTTATAGTTTGTAATTGCATAACAGGAAGCGATATTCACATTTCCATTTAAAATACTGCAGGTATTTGTTGAGTACATGTAGCTCGTTTTGCAATTTTGAGATTGAGATAACGGTTTGTTATAAGATCAGTCTTTTTTTTTTATTCTAATCAAAAGAAATGTTGCGCCACATTAGGATTTTCTCCTGTGTCGTAAGTGCAATTACAAACATACAATTTCACATACATATACAAAAGTTTGTGAATAACTAAAAGAGTTATTCCGTGCAGGTACCAAACTTGCAATACGTTGCACGGTAGCTGGTTGCCCGACCAACGCGTCTTAATTATTTGTATAATTTTAAATTAATATAGAAATATGATGTGTTCACAATATGAATATTTAGTCGTTACGAATTCGTGTATCCATTGCCGCATCGTCAGTTGAAAATGAACAATTGGTTCAACATCCTGGTAAAACGATAACATCAAAAATATACATACACTGTACCGGTATGGTCTGCAACACAATGCCGATAACTCCTACGATTGCTGCGTAGCCGATCTTCAAATATATGAGGTAGCACACCACGACAACTTGGAGTGGCAGAATCCAGATGAAGTGGGTGTAGATGAAGGCATAGTCGAAACGGTTCACGTCGTTCGAGAGGAGATTGACCACTTGTCCCGCTGTAGTCTGCGCTAGCGCACCGGAACTCATCCGCATTACCTGGTCAATAGAAAATAATATTATTGTTTCTGCATTCATTAAAAGTAAATTTCAAATTAGATGATCGGTCGGGGTGGTATTAGGAAATTGGTTGAAATACGCTTTCGTAAGGGCAGAAGCTTACTGGACCTCAATATATTACCCAACAACCGGTTTTTAATAATTATAATGTCACTATCATTTGAATTGTTTATAGATAGAGACAGTATGAAGCCCTTTTCCCTATGAATAAAAGATTTTTATTCAAATATCTTTGTCTTAGATCAATTCATATCCAACTCTCACCAACCGAATGGTCATTCAAATTCAAATGGTCACCTAAATTTCCTATTGTTGTAAGTATACTCTTGTGGTTTACACCCAAGCGTTTGTGAAATCTTTCTTGTCCCTTGACCTAAGGTGTTCCACAAACTTATATCATTAATTTGGTACTCGTCGGTTATTGGAAATACAACCTTAAAATTTTTAAGTACTTAAACAACTACCAAAATATGTTTTAACTGAAACTAGACATTTCATTGTGTACGGTTACTACTAAAAAGGCAAAACATATAAATTTGGTTAACTAATCAAGTATTCCTACTGATAATACCTAATTTTGATACAAGGTTCAATGTAACGGTGAATATTCGATTATTTTTACGCATAAATTAATTGTTTTGGTACCATTTATCAACAAGACTTCGTTAAAAGACTTAATTAAAATGTAGTTTAACGCTATACATAATTATTTATTCATGGCAAGCAACGCCTTCGTGATGCCACCTATTTCTATTTTTACATATGCTACGGTAAACATCTACTATCCTGGCAGCTTTGTTGCTATTCATATACATATAATATATAGTGATTAGTACTATACCTTTCTATAAATAAGTGAGCAGGCGGCGATGCGAACTTTCATGCCGAACTGTTGCGTGGAGTACGTGCCATGATGGTTGAGGAAAGCGATGAGCAGTGACATCATAATAACAGCTGTCGCGCAGTACACTGCTTGCTCGTAGGACATGGTCGAGCCTGGCTCCCAGTACGTAAGCATCAAGCTCAACGCAACCGGTTGGAACGGCCTGTAGTGCAAAGAAGAATAGGAACCAGTATTAATTTTAATCTACTTTTGTGTAGTCTAATTTGTGGATCAATTCTTCCCCATCTCCAATATCTTATCCCCAAATCCTCAATCCTTTGATTAGTGTCCTTGTTTGCTATCATAAGTACTGCATTAATAATGTGTAGGTATGTAGAAAAAGTGTTTCAAAGTTTATGATTAAATTATTATGAGACAACTATGTCTAAAATAGGTATCTCTGCTAGGGATATTTTGTAATAAAAGTATTATCAAATTAATGATTCATCAGAATGAAAAAAGACCATTAAAGAATTTTCCGTTGTCTAAATTACAATGACTAGTGTTGATGTACGAAATTTTCCAGGTCCAACCTATGTCAGAGATGAGGAAGGCAACAAATACCAACTAGTTGATAAGTAATTGGCATAATGTGACATTCGCGTGACTGCCACCGATAGTCTACAAAATTGCTCACTTGAGTACGAGTGCTTGTATCAGGAACATAATGCCAGAAGGAGCGTAACTCATCCAGAAAGCCTTGGTCATTGCGCGAAGTAAAGATGGTTTACGGCCCTGCTTGCTCGCCAGTGCAATTTCTTCCAGCCATTTTCTGTAACAAAGTGTCTCATTAGTAATTAGTACAGCAAATAGTCTATAATATACTGTTGTTAATTATAAAAATGCTTTTATTCGCTTCAGTTAATGCTGGGGTCTATTTCTTCCCGTTTATAGTCACGTGCGCAGCTCAATGTCACTTCAGTTGTACTGGTTGTACACATCCTAGTTCTTTCATCAATTGAACACTTAAAAATTTGGCAAGAGATCACGTGACGGTTATTGTGGAATCATCACCTATACCAACACACAGTGGGTACGATAACTTGACCTTTGCTGACAGACATTCAAACACCAAACTGATCGCACTCGGCATTTTAATACAACTTCGATTATTATGATATCATCATATTATATACTAAAACGGAATGTGTCTATCTTAAAATTAAGTAATTGAGTATTATTCAGTTCGTATTGTTTCTTCAAACGGATGATTAAATGAAATTATTCTAAAGTAAGCACTTTATTTATTTAAAAAAAAAAAAACGATTTCAATCATGTCATGTTTTTTTACATAGATACTTTATCATATTACATGCATTAAAAAGGTCTAAAAGTATAAAATTGTAGTGAACTTCATTCAATAACTTAAAAATAATTAATTTGTTCTTTTCTTTGCGTTGTGATTGTCACCAGAATAAAGTGAAATTAATACGTCATGTTAATTAAGTTCCTAATATTCCCTGCAGAGATTGAACTAAATCAGTCGCTCCGCAATTATTGTACTAACCATTATCATGAATCTTAGCATTATTTTTTGATATTTTTCTTATTCATTTATTTTTTCTTACAAACATTACTATTTTTACAAACGATATTACAATAAACTAGTATACAAGCAAGTTAGTTAACATATTAATACAACATGTTCAAGAATGTAAATGATTTTGCTAATGTACATGAGTCATGTGGGCGTTTATACTTAGTTACTACGTATAATGGTGTCTACATTACCTAGTCAGGCCTAGGCTGTACAGGGGACTCGGGTCGTCTCGGCCAGGGAACATTTAAAGAGTATGCATTCGCACTCATGATCGTGACTCTGTTTATAAAATACGACAACTTGCTGTCGACTCGACGCCGTTGATCGTGAGAGTTCCTCTGTCTCCTATTTTATTATTGTTATGTGCGTAGAATAATCAATGTAGTACAGCACAAGTATGGTTTTACATGTCCCACGATAATTACTATGAAAACATTGTTTTAATAGTAATCATCGTGGGACATGTAAAATTTGTTGGAAATATATAATTAACTGAGAAAAGCTCTAGCAGTTTCAAATTACAACGGGTCTTTTATTGTACCGGATGGAGAAATTATTATTTTATTTTAAACAGATTTAGCAATGATATTATAATCGAGCATTTATAATTATTTGTTTGTTTCAATGAAACTTGCCAATGGGGTTTCAAAAGGGAGCAATATTGATTTAATTGTGTGTCTCTGAGAATTGATATATTTGCTTGATCGTGCAGCGCTTGGTAGCTCTACAAAAACGCAAATTTTATGTTATCATAGGAAATTGATATATTCTAACATCAATTTAAGTATTAAAAAATTTTAAGTATTTCTTTCAAATGTTGCACTCCATTCCTCCTTTGTCGTGGATACAATCATAGAATGTCACTTGGTGATCCAACCCAAATCCAGACGCCGACAGCATAACAGAAAGACTACCCAGCCACAACAACTATGTAAAAGTCATTTTAGAATTTTAAAGGTAACTTTATGGTTATCAATTAAAAAGGTCATTATACAAGTGCCATACTACATTAATTGTGACCACGTGCATTAAACACACGACTGCATTAATTCCGATTACTCATGCACAACAAATATTCTAGTTTTATTGCGATTAAATGCATAAAAATACGACGTTAAATTAAGTAGGTACTAATATAAAAACATTAAATAAAAATTGAATCTTCCGTAAATATCGATGCAGAACGCTGGAGTTTAATATGAGAATACCCGATAAATTTATAATCATAAAAATTACATTCTACCTGTAATTAAATTTATGTGTAAGATTGTGGCTATCCAGACATTGTGAAACAGGTCCTAAGGTCCATAAAGACTCGCTTACGGATACGCGGTGCGTTGGGCGTCGCGTCGAATTTGTCATATCTAATTACAGTAGCATTTGCTTCTGCTTACGAATATGAACCCCTGGTTAAGTTAAACCGACTGCACGCCAAATTATTATTATTAACTAGGTACCTTAATAAGTCCTCCAAAAGTTTTAATTCAACAAATTAGTAGGCTTAGGTCTAAAGCCATTGAAGTAATCAGTAATGTTCAAAAGCCTTGATGGTTACTACCGCACTATAATGCGCTGTTAATGGAATATACGTGGCAGGGCATTAGCGTTTTTTGTAGATCTTGTGATCTGTATTATTTTAAAAGGCACAACGATTTCGATGATCACCAATTCGGCTTGTAGTCGCAAAAAGTTATCCTTATGTGTTTTTTTACTAAGACAGAGTAGAGTTTTTTACTAGGTACTTAGGTACTATATTTTGGGAAAACCGTAGAGTTCCGGGATTTCATTAAGCTAGATGGCTATAAATTTCAATCTGCATAGTTTATTTAATAACTTGAATACTAGTTACACACAATGGAATAATTCTATAAATTACCTATTCCTACGATTGCTGTTAGAATTATATTTATTACATACTATTAATATTCTCAGTATCTTAGCTCCGTCAGCATGGAATGAACTGCGTTTATGTCATGTTAATGTTATAAAATTAAAAATTATTTATTAAAAATAATGTTTATAAGAACTGTTAACACTTTGTTAGCGAAATAATGTTATAATATATTATCATTTATTTGTATTTGTATATGTATATGTAATGAAGCGAAATTATTTTATACCTACAGACATAAAAAAATGCTACTGTTCTGCTGAGTAAATTTCAATAATTAAATTGTTGGACGGGTGTGAAGTTTATATAAATATCAAAGTTTAGAATCAATAGTGCAATAGAATTACAAAAAGAAATGTTGCGAATCTATACAATTTTTTTGACAAAAAGAGAAGAAAAAAACAACAGAGCAACATAGAAACAATAGAAGTGAGTTCTAAATTCAATCGGGCATTTTTTTATCATGGGGTAAAATCAACCTACGACTTCTCCCGCCCTAGATATCAGGAAACAGGGAGTGTCAGTCTCTTACTGACTAAAAACCCCGTTCCTTTAGGGCTGCGCTGCGGCCACGGTATATTGTTGCGTTTGTATCCATGCCCTGGCGAATTTAAGGGCCTTACTGCCCAATTTAAGGAAATATTTCCTCTCTTCATTTCATAGATCTGTGTGAAACCAAAATTTAGGCTCAAAGTAGTCTTAAAAGAACCTGCTCACGATAAAACAATTTTGCATATCTTAAGTATCACTTGCAAAAACCATTCGTACAGTTACTCAATGAAGAATTACCCAATAATGTTGATAATTAATTAAAATACGTTTGCATGAAGTGGAAAGAAAATGCTTTGATGGCTTTTTTGATAAAGTACAAAGACATTTAGATAAGAAGTACCTTTAAATGATGTACCTACAAGTGAAAGCAGATACCAAGTTCGTTAATAATATTGATAGGCAACCGGTACCTGAGCCCGCGCAGCTCAAACTCGCGTCGATCGTTGACATACTAAGTGCGCGTGCGTTAGTGCCACTGGCAAACACTTGTGAATTAGTTAACTAGACAATGATCATTGTAATGCATCGTTTATTTGAGTTTGTGCAAATTAAACACAATTTTTAATCAGGTGCATTCTTTTTCATTAAGTAACTTACAGTTTCGTTAAAAATGGTACCTTAGCACCAGCTTTTACCGGCTGGAAGCCTTATTTTGTAATTATTGTAATAATCTAGGTATATACTTAATCTGATTTCATAACTGTATATGTGACAGTTTTTCTGTCCATATATTCTAAAATCGACTAAACGGTGATTTTTTAAAATCACCACGACACGAGAAACTACTAGTGTGGGACAGAGAAAGAAAAACATATTAAATAAATCTAATAAAAATATTTGCTTAAGAAAATGTAAAATCTGCCGTGGCTGATGATAATATTATAATCAATCACATCATACTTAATGGTATATTTTGTAACCGGTTTTGCGTCTTAAAATAGTGAGTGTGCACCGGGAGAGGTATCACTCTCTACGGATAGACGGTATCATTAATTAACGACTGCAAATATCTCCGTGACATTCCTATGGTAATCAGTTAATGGTTTAAGGTTATGTGGGAAATCGTGTTTGGCATATATTTCGATACATTCTGAGAGAGTGGTCACGTGTCTGAAAGTGAGCTATGCTATAGGGCTATGTCCGTACGGGTAGGTGACTTGCTTAGTATATAGCGCCAAGCGAGTAGCTTATTAAAGCGAACCTTTTCGATTCGTTCTTAACTAGATGTATTATGGATTTGGCTTCTAAACACCCACACACAAATATGGTGGTTCTTAGGCGCCATGATCAAGTTATACTAGAAGAAAAAAATGCACATGGCAAGTGACTGCTGTACAAGGTGCTGTCGACCCGCGCAGATTATAGGTAGCCTAATAGGTAGATATTCCGGTCGATCTACAAGGTGGAGAAAATTCATTTATTTACGTTTTTGATTTTTTTTCTGCAGAAAAACAAGTTTAATATTAAATTGCAGCCATGAAAGATATACAATTTCCTACAAAAGCCTCTTAATGAGTTAATTACTTAAACTATAGCCCAATATTATTGTAGGTATTCCTTAGATACTAGCTTGGGGCAACTAAATTATTTTGTCTTTCTTACTAAATATGGCTATGACATGAATGGAACAACTTATTCTTATCTGATGGCACTTTTGTGTTATATTTTTTACTAACATAACAGAAACAATGATCTGTTCATATCAAAACTCATGTGAAAGCGAGTAGAATTAATACAGAATTGCCACGCTACGAACACAATATGAACACAATACGCCTTAAGTATAACA